CGTGGTTTGTTGTTACGGCGAACGCGTGCTGTCCGACGCTGCCAATGCAATAATGGTCTGTTTTTCACCGTGGGATTTGCCTTGATTTCAATTGGGGTTCGCGCGAAAATACACTATTTAAGTTAAAAATAGAAACCGAACTTCGAGTCTATTGAAAATTACTGGAGTTTACGATCGAGTGAGCCGCTGTTTGAATAAATTCAGTGTTTAGAGCGATATGTCTGCATAAGTTAATTAATTTTGAATAGCTATTTTTTTGGAAAAGCAAAACATCATGACTTATGCTTTAGCAACCGACAATCAGTCAATCACTCCATAGTGGATCATTTTTGTCTTAAGTGTCAATAGTATTGAGATATTTTTGTGCGATACGATGAAATATTGAATCTTCTTTTTCTTTTGGCTTTTTTCGTCTTCACTGGGACTTAGCCCCGGTTCTCACCTGAGCACTTTAACAATTCTCGATTACTTTTTCGAAGGGACGCATAAGCTTTTATAAACAATGCATTTGATCGACGATTTGGCGTAACTGGTAGCACGTCCACGCATTCTAACACTACTATCAGATAGGGGAAAATTTACCCTACCTTAGCATAGGAGAGCTACCAGTTACGCTAAATCAACGATCAAATGCATTGTTTACAAAAGATGATACGTCTCTTCGAAAAAGTAATCGAGAATTGTTAATTGAGAGCTTCTATCGTACTATTTTTGCATTGTTGAGTGGCAAGTAATATGCCCAGAGAAGTCAACCGGAAAATTCCTAGACCGGTCCGGGAATCGTTACCAACCGCCACCAACGTGGTCTTGTTCTATAGCTGCGCCTTTACCGACTGAGCTAAGGGAGGCCTCAATAATAATTGAGAATACAGTATCAGTAATATATTTTTATTAAAATACATATAAATTGTTACATTTGGATAAATCCGTTACAAAAATGGGTTGCGCAACATTACCCCGAAGGTTGTTTACCCGAACACCATTACCCCGAATTTCATTTAAAAAACCTATAGGGTTAACGCTCCTATAGTTGCCGTACGTTGAAAGCGTTAGGTTCCTATAGTTGTGTATGGAGACTCCGTACACAACTATAGGATCCTAACGCTTCTAACGTACCGCAACTATAGGAGCTTTTTCCCTACCCCATATCTCCGAATTTCGTTTCCCCAAATGACGTGTCTCCGAATGCCATCCTTCCGAAAGCACCCCGTGTCCCGTTAAAATGTATATATATCCCAAAAGGTCATCATAACCCCGAAAATTGATACAGATACCAATTCTTGAATACTTCAACTCTTTAACTCTTTGGTTTTTCTGGTATATATGGCAGCGGGACATTTGGGATAATGTTATATTAGGGGTAATGGGATATTCGGGGTAATGGCGTCCACGGAAATTTCATTCGGTGTAATGTAGCACAATCAAAAAAGGTAATGTGTGGGGTCACACTTAAACTCATTTATTGCTTATAAAGCAAGACATTTCAAAATTAACGGAAATTTAATTTAATTTTCACATGCCGAAGACATTTTTATCAAGATAACTGGTAGCTCTACCAGCATTTAAGAGACAAGTAAAATAGTGCTACGCTTAAACTATCGTTATACCAACGGGTTTAGAAAAAATGTAATTTTGGAAACTTCACTTTTGAGGTTCGCATCTTTGCTGTCGAATTCGGAGGTTTAACGTTTTAGCTATAAATGCTGAGTTTTGTGCCTTTTTTTTCATTTTTTTTATAGTCATTAATACTTTTAAGGTTGATGAGATTTTGGCTAATTTTTACATGAAAAACTTTCATATTTGTCTTCTTTTTGACCTTCTAATTTATTCAAAAAATTTAGTTTTTTTGTAAAGTTACACATACACGCTTCTTGCGGTCCATTTTTGACTTCATTCCATCAAAATAAAATAAATCATTTCATACACTCACATAGCCTGAGAATACGTTACGCTTTATTATTCGTAAGGAACATTCAAAAACAGTGAATTATGAAATTAAAGGCTGCAGCACCAATAAATAAAACAATAAACAGAGTAAATAATGTGTGCTCTTGATGATAGTTAATGCGCATTCTCAAATCTTGATGATAGCAGATTTATATAAAGACAAGCTAATTTAATCTAAAGATATATTTTTTTTAAATCAAACTTGTTTTTCATACGTTTTCCGTGCTGAGTATCAATACTACCGACACTAAGGAGGCAGCTCCCACGCCTGGACCCTACCTATCGACCCATCAACTAATGGACCGGGGACCAACGGCTTTACTTCCCTACCGACTACGCCGACTGGGACTGAACCCGGGCCCTTTGGTCAAACATGTCTCATAAGTAGTAACACACACAAACGAAATAATCAAAGATGTAGAGCCCTTCAGATTAAACCATTTAAAATGTATGTAACATTAAATGTAAAAATCATAATCAACGGTAATACAATTTTATTTACAAATATATGATTTTCCTCGAAAGTTTTCAATTGCTTCACAGCGACATTTCTAAGTGTTAAAAGACAGTTTTCGTGAACAACAAATATGTATATGCATTCTTAGCGGTCAAGAAAATCCAATTATAATCCTTCATACAGCATCTAGTACTTAAAAGGACATTTATCAATACTGTCGCGATGCAACAAAGTGACGTATACGCAACTATGGAAATTTTTATTATTTTTCATATTCAGCAGCACTTTTTGACATAAAAAACTGAACCTTGGATCACCATAGAAAGTTTGTGCTACGAATGTCACTTTATTGAAAAGTGTTGAGTTGAAATCTTTTTTTTTTCTGCGGCAAAACAAAAATTAATTTAGGACCCTAGGTTGCATTTATTGTTTGAAAATATACTGCAATGAAAGTTTTCAAATAGCGGCACCGGTAGTGGTAGTAGTGTAGTAGTAAGCGTGATTACCTCTCACCCCAGCAAGCCTGGGTTCAATCCCAGTCGGCACCGCCGGGATTTTCTGAGGCATAACATGAACCTTACAGAAAATCAAGCACAGGAACATACGAGCAGTCGTTTGAGTTCTGTCACGCGAATAGTTCTTTAACAATTTCTTTGTAGAACCCAAAATTTTAAAGTGGTTTGTTGTACATAATAACAATTAACCATTGTAAACACCTGCAAACGATGTTCTGCAGTACATTGATCATATGTATTTTTAAATTATATATTTGTGTGTGTGTTTGTGTGTGTTCCCTTTAACCCCCACCCCTAGCAGTGTTATTATGGAAGAACTCTCACTACAATTTCGTCATTGTAGACAGCTTTAGTCCAGGAGTTAGAAGGTGATAACTCTATTGCAGATCCAGCAACCCATTTCATAATGTCTGGAGAGTCACGCCCATTCCGAGGTTACTTTCACTTACAATAAGCTCCACATGTATGCATCACCGTTATCAAATGGATATTGATGATACATACACAGTACACTTCCAGGTTCGAAAAAATTCTTTTCAACCCTGGCATGTATTTAGTTTAATTTTGATATTTAATTTGTAAACGTTCGTTAAAATTTGGACAGCTCTCACCATATTCTGCTCTTCCGCCGCCGTTAATTGCTTTCTTTGGAATCCCTTGGGCTTTTTCTCTAACGCTTCGTATTCCATTCCGTGCTTCACCGGCAATTTCCTTCCGTAGATCGTCCTTGGTTGGTTGCTTCTAATATGATTCTGCATTTTTTGGTAGGTTTCATGTTCACCATATGTTATTGAATTGCCATGGTGATCTGGAACGAGGCTCACGTCCAAAGTCGCTGGTCCACCGAGCGCTCCGTGTGGAGAATGAAAGAAATACAAAAGGAATCAGTTTCAAGAAGTGTCAGTTTCATCAGATTCCTCAACTAACCATACTCAAGCAAAGTAAGAATATACAAGCTATATTGCGACTATATGGTTACTTGGGTACTCATATGGTCGTCAGAATGGTTCATCGGTTGCGAAGTGAAGTATTTTTCTCAATGTTTTGATTTTATCCTAACGTTACCTCAATGTTATATCACAGACAAGCAGACACAATACATTGAACATTTATCATTGTAAACCCTACCGCCATCTGTCGTATACACTATGATGGGCAATACACTCAACAGATGGTTGTAGTGTGTAAACTTCAAACGCTAGGGAATTGATTATGTGCACCACAAGTGGCAGTACTACCAACTAAGAAACATTTAAATTGACCGTTAAAAATGATTTTAGTGAACGTTTTAGGAGTGTTATGTCTGCTTGTCTGTGATCATACCTTCACTATCGCAACTTCGGGTAATCTGCGAAAGTACTTGCATTTTTCTCAGGCACTTTTGATCTAACTGCAATTACTCTCTCATACTCGAAATGAGCTACGACCAAATTGGCACAACGACGCCCTATACGCTCTCTGACCGAAGCGCAGGGGTATTTTTAAATTATATTTGGTTCAATAAATCAATGATAAATATAAGTTTTCAACTTATTCATTCAATTCTGAAAAATGTGATATATGCGAAACATTTCTCGTGATGAAACCGAGAGTGATATAAACGGAAGGTGAAAAAAGAATGATTAAACGGAAATTCCACTATGAATGTATCATGAATATCAGATTCTTCACACTTCCGTGTCTAACATCAGGTATCAAAATGGGAATGAGTCTAATAGCGCTTTGCGCTATTTTCCACCTATCCGCATTATGTGTGTACCATTCGTTGTTTAACATCATGTAAAAGTTCTCAACTATCGAACTACGTATCGTCAACGGATTGAAGGTTATTTCCACCCGAAGCGAGTTTTTTTGGTGGAAAGCGCACACGAAACTCTTCCAAGACATCGATTTTTCTTACCAACAAGAAGTGGGTTATACCGCCCCTGTTTTTAGGGGTGTAAACATGCATCGTTTCTAGATTGTCAAGCGATAGGTCGCATTTACTGCTACAAACTTTCGTGTCAAGCGGTCGTAACTCCGAAACTAACCGTGAAATTCATCTTTAATATCCGCCCTTTCCTTTCTGTACCTTCTTGCAGATATATAGATAAAACATCTTCCCTCGCACCCCCGCGCCACCAATCAGAAATGGCGTCCCCACTGCCAACGAGGACTATGCCTCCACCACCTCCACCAAAGCCCCATAAGTCACCGACATTAAATGGGGCTGACAGAGGACACATTTACCAGAATAACAATATAAACAACAACAACAACGAACCGATTCAGAACGGTGGTAAAACCAACTACACGGTGCCATTCGGTGCCAGTAATCCGTCGTTGCCGCCCGAGAATGAACAAGTAGTGATGACACCCCGTGGAAAGACCGCCAACTCGACGGTGCTGCTCATTGAGCGCAAGCTGGTGCAGCAGGTCGGTGACAGGACCCACGTGGCCGGCGGTGACCATCGAGGAATTATCATCAACAAGGATGCTGCCTCAGGTTAGTGGTGTTGAAGATTAGGTAAATGTAGGTTGTGTTAGTCTCTAGAATTTGTTTCATGAACTGATATTTCCCAGAAGAAAAAAATTCCATAAAAACAATTAATTTTACTGTTATTGCAACCATGATTTTTACTGCGAAAACATTGCACTTTTATTCATTACCACAGTAAAACAAAAATTATTAACATAAAATTTACAATGAAATTTATTGTAGTGTTAAATAAATGGTTACTTATTTTCCGAATATTTGTGAAATTTTTAAATCAGTAAGTACACTCAATTCTGATTGCACGCGATTTTTTTTCTGTTCTTCTGCGTAAAAGTTGATAGAATTCACGAATGACCGCTATTTTGATTACTTTGTCTTACTACTTCGAATTTTTGGTGGCACGATTCTCAGAAACTATGTAGATTTCGTAATCACTCTTTTACTGCAGTGCAGCATACATGTGATCACAATTTCCTGCACGTAATCTTTATAGTTTCTGAGATTCAAAATAGTGGCCATTTATGGATACTATCAACTTTCACCTTAGAACAACTTGTTTCAAAAACTCACAAAATTGAAAAAAAATATAGTGTTTAAAAAAAACTGTTCCTATCCTACACACTTAGAAAAAATTACCGACTTCGGTAATTCATTTACCGAATTCTCAACAGCTGAACGATCGGTAATGTTTTCGGTAATCGAGAACATTACCGAAAAATCTGTAAACTGAATCAGCAAAATTAGCTGTCAAATTAACCGAATGATCGGTAAACCTTACCAAAAAAAAAAAAAAACAAGCTTGATTTGTAATTGATTTTACCGGAGAACTGTCATTTTGGAGTCGATATGTAAAATGAAAAGTTTTGCCGGTGCCGGTATAAAATCTTTCTTTTTTATGTGGCCATTGATGTGTCGGTGCAGTATGGTAACATAACCTGGAACTTGCAACCGACAGAAAAAACAAGCAACAGTATTGGCCATCTGTAACAATGGGTATTTATTTAGATAACTAACTATCATTACTTACGGAAAATATCTACGATTCGCTCATCTTGGTGCTGCAGCTGGTCCATAACAGCCTCCATCATTGCACTTTTTATTTTTCACAAGCTTCCACTTACAAACTTTTTTTAAGAAGGTCGAAAATCACAATAGGGCGAATTTGACGTTTCTCGCTGGGAAAACTACCGAACTCGGTAATGGAACGGTTTGTGTACCGAAACATCAGTAAAATATTTCACCGAAGTCAATGATGAAGCTGATTTGAAGATCTGCGGTCATTTTTTTTTACCGTTTTCGTTGAATTGAAATGAAGTCACCGAAGTTCGGTAATTTTATTTACAGTTTTCAGCAATAGAGCGAAAACATAACAAAACATTTGTAATTTTTAGGATTACCGACCTAAAACGGTATTTTTTTTACCGAACGCAGAGTCTGTTTAAGTGTGTACATACACACTAATCCAGGCCTCCGTCATTCTGTAAATTTTGAACTACAGAACTGTTCGGTAAAAGTTTGAAAATCAGTGAAAAATCCAATTATCAAAAAATTTATCCCGAATTTGTACAGAAGTTGTTAATTTTACCCCATTTATTGATGAAAAATAAAATTTATAAATTTTCTTGATTTCTCACGTGTAACGGTCATTTGAAAATTTTACCGAGTTGTTCTGCTGTTCAAAAACCCGGTAAATTCCTACCGACTTCGGTGATCTGATTTAAGTGTTTAAGGGCGAAATCGAAGGAAAAACCACGTCAAAACAGAACTGAGGGTATTTAGACCAAACGATTATTTTAGATGTTTAAAAACACACTACTCCTGTACCCTTGCTGAAATATGTAAACAGCAGAATTCTTAATATTTTTAGAGTTATTTGGCAGGAGCAAAAAAAAAAAACATTATTATTTTCCATTTCATTCCGATTAGCATTCGATATCCATGGCAGATAAGTAATTTGACTACAATGTGCAGTCTTCATCAGTGTCATTCCCGGTGTGGTGTACACGTGCAAAAATACTTGCGACTGTGATGTGAATCAGTGTGAAATCTGATCTGAAGAGAGCTCCAAGGTAATACCGATACAATACAATTCCAAGCAAATCCAATTCTGAGGATTGTTCAGTACAAATCTTGGCAGAATTTGAAACTTTTGTCACACACAGTTTAATGGATATTCCTTGCAGAAGGCTTAAGAAGAAATTTCCTAGTTTTTTTTTTTTGTAAAAATCTCAATTCTAATTAAATTTGAGTAGCATTTCACGGGATTAAATTTTAAGGAGATTTTCAAGGGAATACCGAAAAGAATTCTGAGGAAATTCCAAAGACAATATTCAGGGAATTTTGAGAAGAATTTCAAGAAAACTCTGAGCGAAATTTCAAGGTAATGTTTAAGTTACTTTTGGAAACAAAAATATATACTAGTGTAATAGGATGCTTCATTAACTCTTGATTCCACTTATGAATATTTCAGGTGGACAAAAAGGCGAACTAAGACTTTGACGTCTAAGTTTTTCCACATTTATATCGCTGTTGCTTCACGCTTCTAGAGCGTAAATTCTAGAGGGCACCTATATCTGTAACAGTAACCAGTTCGATTTTGTTTGCTAACCTGGTTAAAATGTCATATTTAATTATAAAGATAAATCGTCCAGTTCAAACCCTTGTAGGGGTAAGAGGTGGGACCATAATCATCATCATCATCAACAACTCGCGTGAACTATTGAGAATTCGAAGTTAATTTGTAAGAGTTCTGCAGAATATTCCAAAGTTAATATCTAATAAAAATATCTCAAGAATAAAGGGTGATACGGTCAAAATTTGGTCAAGGGAAAACGCGTGTAAATAGGTGAAATCGTTTATTTAAAAAAATCAAATTAAATTTCTTTTTCAAGTTCAATTAGTATAAAATTCAGGAAAAATATTCAGTTAGGCTTCCGCTTTTCCAAATCCGAATTGCCGGGCCTTACGCTTGACCCCTGCCATCAGATTTTGTACAGCCACCTTGTCCACCTTCTTCGCCGCAGAAAGCCAGTTTGCCTTGAACTGCTGCTCGCCCTTAGCAGTTTTTTTGGTCTTCTTTAGGTTCCGCTTGACAATAGCCCAGTATTTCTCAATTGGGCGGAGCTCTGGCGTGTTGGGAGGGTTCTTGTCCTTGGGAACCACCTGCACGTTGTTGGCGGCGTACCACTCCATGGCCTTTTTACCGTAATGGCAAGATGCAACAACCGTGTTTCTTCAGGAAAGGCAGCAGACGTTTATTCAAACACTCTTTCACGTAAATTTCTTGGTTGACAGTCCCGGAAGCTATGAAAATGCTGCTTTTCATGCCACAGGTACAGATGGCTTGCCAAACCAGATATTTCTTTGCGAACTTTGACAGTTTCATGTGCTTGAAAACATCTGCTACCTTTCCCCTTCCTTTTGCCGTATAAAACTCCTGTCCCGGAAGCTGCTTGTAGTCGGCTTTGACGTAGGTTTCGTCGTCCATTACCACGCAGTCAAACTTCGTCAGCATCGTCGTGTACAGCCTCCGGGATCGCGCTTTGGCCGTCGTATTTTGTTTATCATCGCGATTTGGAGTCACTACCTTCTTGTAAGTCGATAGTCCGGCTCGTTTTTTGGCTCGATGCACGGTTGTAGACGATACACCCAGCTTATTTGCGGCATCTCGGAGAGAGAGGTTAGGGTTTCGCTTGAAACTACCGGCAACTCTCTTTGTCGTCTCAGCGGCTTCCGGTTTTCGATTTCCCCCCGATCCAGACTTCATGGCTGTCGACAAACGTTCCCCAAACACTTTAATTACATTTGTAACGGTTGATTTGGCAACTTTTAGCGATTTTGCCAACTTTGCGTGCGAGTAGCTCGGATTTTCGCGATGCGCGAGCAAAATTTTGATACGCTGCTCTTCTTGCTTGGACGGCATTTTGAAAACTGAAGAGTGAATTCCAAAATCAAAATAGGAGCAACATTCTACACACACACACCTTCAAAATGAGGGGTGTTCAGGTTTTTTAAATGCAGAATTGAAAGAAATACGTCAAGTTGATATTGACCAAATTTTGACCGTATCACCCTTTAACAGAAAGGATCATAAGATTATTAGGAAAACTATAAGTAGAGTTCCAAATAAATTATATTAGTAGCATTTTTCTGAGGAGTGGAATGCCTACTGCCTAATCATTCCACTGAGCTTCAGAGCTTGTGAGCGAAGGGGAATAAAATTAGAGTGAGGTTTGCTGCCATTCATGTTCATGTTTTCTATTACACGCTCTTTTTTTTTCCTCTGTTCGGGACCTAACACTACACGCTCTTACTCTCACTCTGGTGAACTCTGAGCTTCTTGCGTCGAACAAAAAAGTCATCCGGAGTCTCGAAAAGCGCACCTCACGTCTAATCATCCTCGACGAGTTTTTGTTTACTTTTTCCATATTCCTGCCGCCAGCCGCCACTCACTCGAGGTGAGGGCTGGCTAAACTCGCAGGACAAGAGTGTTTTAAAACCTCCAGTGAGTTTGAGGAGTTTCAGCAAGCCTGTCGATAGGTAGGGTCCATGTGTGGGAGCTGCCTCCCTGGCGTCGGTAGCATTGGTACTCAGTACGGAAAACAAATCAAAGAAGAAAAAAAAACCCATTATCTGGGATTTTGAAAAAGAAACTTTAGGACTTTAAGAAAAAGTTTTTGAGACCTCATGTTTACTTATAATTTTCAAGATCCCGGTCTCGGAAAATCAATTCATGTTCTGAGGGTTGAATTTTTTCTTGAAAATCTGAGGGTCTAATAAAAAGTGAGATTTGTTATCTCAGACTTGGAGAAAAATTCGATACACAGGAAGTTGAAACAATTCGAAGAGAAATTTCCTAGATTCTGTAACATAGCACTTGACGTGACCTAAAGTAAATTTTCAATAACTTTTTTACACAAAAGTCGAATCGATTTGCGGTCTAAAATTATACTGCATAGTTTGTTCAAATTATTTATTTATTTATTTAGTTGCACGTTGATTGTGTTCAAAGTTTCATATATGGATAATATTGAGCAGTGCGTGAATATTTGACAAACACATTAATGGTTTTTTTTCCCTTTTTACATTTTTCCATACAAAACCCACTTATTTTCTTCTTATGAGACTAGCTAAGCCTATTAGTACAGACGTTGTTACTTGGGATGCAAGGCGTTACTGACTTTCTACTCTACTTTTCAGGTCAAAGCACAGAACGCAGCCCTGCTCAGCTTAGCCTCGAGTTTCGTGTATTTCTAGTCAGTGCCAACACTGGCCAGCATTCGCAAGAATCCCGTAAAATTCGTTTCTGGTTCCGTGACTGGCTACAGGATGGTGAAGTGCAAGCACACGTGGCACAGGACTTTTTTCGCGAGCTCGTTAGCCCGAAAGAATTCCCCAGAGGTAATTTGACGTGATATAGGCGTGATCGAGCTTTTAACACTGTTATGTTTACGGCAACAATTTACAGACTACGTTGGATTCATCAAGAAAATTATGAAGCAACTACAGAAAGGATACAACGAGATACAGGCAATCGAAGTGGAACTTCGAATACTGGAGCAGACTTCAGCGCCACCTTCACGACCACGTAAGTTATTTATAATTGTATTATCTTAAACGTCTCTACTTTACCTATCTTTAATTTTGAAAATTTCAATATAAAGCTCGTCCTGGCCATGTGATATTTTGCTACGGTAATTGTAATAAAGCTTTCGACTCCAACCATAACAGTTGTGGCAAAGCGCTAGGTAACGACGGTGGTGGTGGTGTTAAAAGTAATTCCAATAGCATACATCCCTCTCCAGTTCATCAACTTGCTGAAAAAGAACCGATTATTCCAACCGGTGAGGTCATGATGAAGAACCTTTGGCTCGAAATCTATAACAACAGTCTAACCGATGTGCAGCGTGGTGTTGTCTCCGTCAGATCCTAACAAATGTTGTCTGCGACTATAAATCTAACCTCCCCACGCATTGGGTCTGTGTTTGTTGTTTGACACGTTGTGGTGACGATATTAACTGATTTACTGTTTGCCTGTTTATTCTACTGTGTACGTCTCCATTAATCATTATTGGTACGAATATGGCGAATTAGCTACAAAACAACCATCAAGGTAGATTTTGCTTGCCGCTTTGCTAAAGCAAGAATCTTGGTAAAAATGTTTCCTTAAGACAAAGCGAACATGATCTTGCATAAGAATGCTTAGGCCACATCATTTTTACTGTAATTTGAAGTAATAATAAAGAATATGATAGAGAATTTGTGGTGTAAAATTCATTACCTTTTGTTAGTTACTATCTTTAGTTAATCAATTGAAGATTGAGAAAATTTATCATATTTCAAGCCACAATACCATTGCTAATTTCAAGGCCCAAAATACCACGATAAATTGGGTTACTAGCCCTGTACTACCCAGTTTTGGTTGAAGTTGTTTTTATATTTTTAATTCCTTTAATTTAATGCAGTGGTGACAATATCCTTTTTTTATTTGTATTTTTGTTCGATTGTCATATTTTATGTTATGTTGCGTTCTGTTTCACATATTCATAATGAATAAAGCCATTTGAACTGAACTTGTAGCAGGTGTTACAAGTTGGCCTTTAAAATAAAATAGAAAACATGTTCTGATATATTCAGGAACAATATGGAAAATAGGCGTAAATGGTTTTTGTAAACAATGACTTCGATTGTCAATTTCTAGTGACTGCCAGCGTATACCTCCATCAAGCAGTAGGGCTAAATTTACACTACTTGATGGTAGTGTTAGTTTGCTTGGGCAAACTAGCGATTATGAAAAAAAAAAATGACGATTGAAGATATCATTTACAGCTAGGGTAAATCTGCCAGTTTTTGGCCCTATCCTAAATTTCAATTTTGTTCATTCTTTACAAAAAAAATTTCGATGCGAAGGTAAACATTTATTTAGCCTTATATCACGCAAATAAAATAACGAAAATTTGATTTAGGCCCTAGTGCAATAACTGGTACACTTAAACTATTTGACAATTTTGTTCTTGAATTAAGTGTTGATCATATTTGATCCTATTATAAAATACCTTTTAACTAGGGTCAATAGATCATTTTTTATCAGAAAACGGTAAAAATTTCCTTTTTTATCACATTATTTTTGAAAACCAGCAGTGGTGTTCAGGTTACAAAAACTTCATACGTGGAGATGTAGTAGATGATGGTCTCAAATATTTACTTTGGATCCCCTTCATCTCTCTGTAGTTCTGTACATTTCTTCTGTCATCGTTTTTGTGCACTGGGAACATATACGAGAATTTCTATGCCTATCTATGCTAATCTCTATGCCTACCTAGCTCGAAACCTGGCTACGCCCTTGCCAATGATACATGTTTTATATCCACCAGTACATAACATAGCTATTGTAAAGTGTTCTACACATCACAAATAATAAATAACTTGATTTTTAAATCTATTGGTTGTGGTACGGCCTTATGACCAGAAATGCTAAACCATCATGAAACATATCAAGTCACAAGAGAATTGGAGAATATAATTAATAAAATTCATAACGAGGATCCAAGTTGCCAGAATCTGACTTAGGACAAAACACATCATTCAGCGGTGCCGGTGGTGTAGTGGTAAGCGTGATTACCTCTCACCTAAGCAGGCATGGGTTCAACCCCAGTCGGTCGGCGCTGCCGGGATGTTCTGAGGCATAACATCTCTGATCACGCCTTCCTTCGGAAGAGAAGTAAAGCCGTTGGTCCCCGGTTTATGAGTTGATGGGTCGATAGGTAGGGTCCAGGTGTGGGAGCTGCCTCCCTGGCGTCGGTAGCATTGGTGCTCAGCACGGAAAACAAGATCGACGGAAAACAAATCAAGGAAAAAACGCATCATTCAGCACATCAAATTACATTAGAATTCGAGAACAATATTGAATACTCACACACTCGGGTCACATTTATATTGGAGAAAGTTGAAATCAATTTTTCAACGGGCCAACCCCCACTCTTTCGTGTATAGAACTGGTTCAGTAAATTCATTATGCTCAGAATTTCAGCACTTGTAGGTTAAACTATGGTCTCATTTAAGAACTGTTGAAGTGCATATGGAACACTGAAAATAAAAGTTCATATTTTTCACGGGCACCCAGTCCCACATCCATACAGGGTTGTTGCTATGACGATATGATTCATTCATTGGCCACCCTGCGAAAGGCTCCTTAACTTTGTTGGTTGTTTACGTTTGGACGCGAACGAAATCCTATATCTTAGGTCATTGCTTGTTTTCGTCTGGACCAGGGATCAGGTCAAATTTTGGTCGACTTACGCGATTTTGATTAAAGTTCGCGTAGATTTGGCGTACTTTTAATTTATAGTTCGCGCGGATTTGGCGCGGATTTCATTTCAAATTTCTCGTAACCCTGCTTATGTCTTTAGGTGAGAAAACCACTTTCTGAATGTTTCAGCTATTTTTTAAGGAAAACGGGCTAGCGCTTTTATGTTTATTTACACCAAAAATAGTTTTCATGTACCTTCCATTGATTTTAATCCATAATCAAAATTAACATTAATGCGATCACATTTGTTTTATATGATTTTTCATATGAACTTCATCGGCTTCATAATATTCATGTATTTAGTGGTGGGATTTTCAGCTATGTGAACACAGGAAAGCTATATGAAATTCACATGGATTTCATCCATTAGATAAGTGATAATTTAGAAAATATCTCAATAAACATGCAGTATTAGCAAAATTGTTACGTAGGCAGTTGCACGAAGTAGGCGTTCGTAGGACGAAAATCTAGCAAAGATAGGATTAACACTGGTTACTGTTTGAGTCCTGGCGGCAGTGGCAATCAGCTTACATCGTTACTTACACTAACCAGGAAATCTTCGACATGCATGCCACGGGATACCAGGGTTGTTCTTGCCGGGTTGTCCTTGCTACGTCAGCCGCACACAGCTCCAAGCGAGGTAATGTGATCTTCTGCAAGGGTGCGACTCGAGATTTTGAAGCGAGGAGTTCAACACGAACCTTTCCTGAAGAATCTACACATCGAACATAAGTACACGCCCCGTACGCTGATTCCAAAGCAACGGAGAACGTATGCAGTTGAGTCATTAACTTCGGCAGCAGTGCGTACCAGCTGACGCTGATATTGAAGATCTTCGGTACATGATTCACGAATTCTTCCCAGGATGCTGCAATAGAATCCGGCACGATGTTTCCAATCACACGGAAGTAGCCACAGTCGTTGCATCAACATCTTTCCCTTGATGACAATCGGTGATATCAATCCCAAAGGGTCGAATAGTTGTGAGATTCCGGAGAGGATTGAGCTTTTTTTCGGAGGACTGCTGTGCTGAAGGATCTTCGAATCAAAGTGGAAATTTGCAGTCTCTGGCTCCCAAAAAATTCCAAGGGCTTTTACCGTTTCGTCTTCGCCGAACTTAATCGATGACTGCGTACCTATTTCGTCGGGTGATAGACCTGCGAGGACTAGTAATTGATTGGATGCCCAGTACGAAACCGTCTTTCGCCAGGAGTTTAGTGCTCCTTCCTCAGTTGGATAGCTTCTTCGATTGACTGCGCTCCGCCGATGAAGTCGTCTACATAGAAGTTTTTCCTCAAAGCGGGTCCACCGAGTGGATGTGCACCGCCCTCATCACTAGAAAGCTGCTGCAGCGTTCGTGTTGCAAGGAAGGAGGATGAACTCAAGCTATATGTAACCGTCAACAATTCGAAGATTTCGATTGGATCCGCCGGTCAAATCGCCACAGCATTCTATGGAGCAGTGCATCAGCCGCGTGGACATAGACTTGCCGATACATTTTGGCGATGTCACCAACCAATGCCACGAAAAATGTGCGGAATCGATGAATTATGGATAGGTGATCGTCCTGTACCACGGGACCTACTAACAGCGCTTCGTTCAGGGAGAAGCCTGTAGTAGTCTTAGCAGATGCATCGAAGACGACGCGTACCTTCGTTGCCGTGCTTGTTTCTTTCACCACTGGGTGGTGTGGGAGATAGTATGCACCGGAATGATGTCCTTCGTCCTCTTGAACACGTCGCATATGCCCAAGGGAGAAGTATTCTGTCATGAACTTGTGGTATTCGGCCTTCAATTCTGGAAGTCTTCGTTACAGGAGATTGAAACGGTGGAGTGCTATTGACTTGGAGTCGCCGATCAGCTCTTTGAAGTTGGACCGTCGAGGCAAGTGTACTATGTAACGCCCATCTGTATTCCTCGAAGTGATCGACGAGAACAGGTCCTCGCATTGCTTTTCCTCACGCGAGTAATTGGACCGGACTTGTAGTTCTTCGACCTTCCAAAATCGTTCGACACTTTCTTCGAGATTGAACAGAGATACGGCCACAATGGAGCAAGGAGGATTCTGTTCTACGGAAGGTATCTTGCCATGGAACCAGAAACCAACCATCCAAAGACGCTATCGACAAGCATAGGAAAAGATTCGGCTAAGTTGATTCGGTTTGCCGTCTAGAACAATGAGAAGAAATACTCAATTCCCAGAATCATGTCGATCGGAGCACGCTTTTGTAATTGGGGATCGGAAGAATCAGGAACTCGGCATTCACGGAGAAATTTCTTTTTCTGGACTGGATCTGGGCGTACACGGATTTTTGAGGTTGTTCACCGATTCCTTGAATGAGGACGTTTGTCGTTGGGATGCTGAATCTAGCAGAGCTCTAGCGAAATGCTCCTTGCCATAGCGATCAATGACCACCACAATCGCTGTCAGCATAAAAATGTTTTTCTCGACCGTTGGAAAGACTGTTGGTCTGGTAGCTGTTTTCTGCCGGTTGGATGGATGTGACAGCGGAGAGCACAGAAGATGTGGACTCG